TAATTTCAAGCTCTTGACTGACTGCCAATTGGTATTACCTGTCCTAGATACTTGTGAGAGTTTACTTTTTTCACCTGTTGGTTTTCTATGGATATTGTGTTTCTATCTGTCATAAACTCTGTTTTTGATGCGTTCATTTCTAATCCGATCTTCATGGCTTCTTGGAGTAATTCTTCCAGCATGATTTCTAAGTCTGTTTCATTCAGGGGGCGAATATCACGATGTCATCAGCGAATCTTAAATTATTAAGGTTTTCTCCAGATATATTGATCTCTCTATTTTCCCAATGTAATTCCTTGAACACATCTTCGAGGACTATAGGGTGAACAGCTTAGGTGATATTATATCGGCTTGTCTTACGCCTCATTTCATCTTCACTTCGTTTGTATCTTCATGCATTCTTAATTTTATTTTTGTTGCTTTTTGATTATGTTTATTATACATCACTAATCTATTCGTACAGACAGTGCCGAAGACTTTTTTAAAATCGATGAATGCTAGCCATGTTGTAATGTTATATTCGGCCGTGTTTTCATTTAGTATTTTTTTGCTTCAAGATGTTCTATAGTGCTGTAGCTCTTTCTATAGCCTGCTTGTTCTTTAGGTTGGTAATCATTGAGTTTACTTTCTAGGCGGTTGGTGACTATTCTCATAAACAATTTGTATATCTGAGACATGAGGCTTAGTGGTCTATAGTTTTCAAGAGACTCATCTTTTTTTGTGAATCAGAACTACGATCGCAGTTTCCCAGTCGTATGGTATTTTCCCCTCTGTTAGACATTTATTGAAAAGTGTTTCAGTTCTTTTACAAGGTATTCTCCTGCCTTCTTCGGCATTTCTGGTAGTAGATCGTCAATTTCTGGGTGTTTTCCGTTGTTTTATTGGCTTAGAGGTTTTGCGATTTCTTCCTCTTTTATATCAGGAATCTTTTCTGACCCAACATTTAGAATTTCGGATGTTTTGCTTTGTGCTTCGTATAGTTCCTTATAGAAATTTAGGCAATATTCCCTCTCTGTCTTCTATAATGTGTCCTTGTTCGTCCATCAGCTTTGTAATTTTTCTTTTGTGTGCGTTTTCCCGTTTGAAAACGTTAAAGCCTTTTTACTGTTCTATTAGTTTTTCGATTTGTGCTTCTTGGTAGTTTATGATGTCTTGTTTTGTCATCCTTTTGGCTATTTTGTTAGTCTCTCTGTAATATGGTGTATCTTTTTTCCTTGCTTAATGAGTTCTCTTCTCTTTTCCAGAATTTGTTTCGTTTCTTTGCTAAATTTATCTGGCCTACAGCGGTTCTAGTCTGCCATTTATGGATATTACTTATTTCAAACACCTTCTGTAGCTTGCTAGATGGTTGTAGCCCTTGGTAGTTACCCCCATCCACTTTGCTGGGACTAGCAACTGGCATCATTGAACCACTTGATCGAATCTAACATCAAGCGTCAAGAATCTCATGATTCTCCAAATCCCCTCAACATCGGCCTTGACAAGGAAGAGTGGCGTCTTTGTAGGTTAAACTTCCAAGCTCTTTTGCATTGTCCGATCCGCGGATTATTGCGTGGAGCTACTTTGTAATGTGCCAAAATTGCCTTATCGAAATTAATCCATTGTTTTTGTAATTATTTTATATTAAGGACAATTTCTCCATTAACTGTGCGTCTTCCTTGATTATCAAATAACAATAATCCCAGCTGGTGGGCGCTATAATTTAATTAAATCCACTTTCTCGTGCGTCGCTTGAGCTTTCGTGACGTCATAGGGTGAGATGCGGTACCTTCATAGAGCCATATCTGCGGTATTATTTGTCATAGAGGGGTGCGGATTTCACTGTTATTCTTAGATTTTTTTTCTCTTTTTTTTGAGATGAAGTTGTTTTTTTGGCGCACACCCCCTTTAACATCTTTTAAAGACGCTCCATATATAGTCTGATCAAATAGTGTTCAAACGCACCTGTTTCGTAACATGAATGCGGTAAAAGGTTTTTCAACGGAATTATATGTTTTTTGGGATGCTGAATACGAGTTTGAAGTTTGCTGCCTCGTAGCATTACCGGCTCAGGTCGAAAAACGCGAAAAACCTCGAACTTTTCGAACTTTTTCCGGTTTTCTGGTAATATCTTGCAAACGACGCATCGTTCGTTAAATGTATTGTATTATATCACACTCCAACTTATTCTTTCTTCACATTTTTTTCGGGATATGAATATTCCCCAGTTTCCGTGACTCCTGGGATTCTCCCTTTCCTGGAACTTCACCTAAACCCGCTATGTGCCATTTGATGGGTTTCAACTCGTTTTCCAGTTCGCCTATCTCATCATCTGTTTACAAAGTCCTGGTATTATATGGTGATGTTCTTTCGGTCCACTTTCAAATGTTATAACTACTTATGGTTGAGAGAACTTAACGTGGTGTTCCTACCCAAACCAGGAAGGATGGACTACACCAAGGCATATCGCCCCATAAGCCTCTCATCATTTTCTCTAAAAACAATGGAGAGGCTATGCGAAAGGTACATGAGGGATGAAGTGTTATCGACCAATCCACTCCACCCTAATCAACATGCATACACCTCCTGGAGATCAACGGACACAGCCCTCCACCTGTTGCTGGGCGAGTGGAAAAATCGCTTGACAACAGAGAGTCCGCCATCGGGGTTTTCATCGACACTGAGGGGGCCTTTGACAAAAGCACCTTTCAAAAAATTAGCCACTCGCTGACAGAAAGGAATACTGCAGAAACTGTTACTGGATGGATATTCAATATGCTTTCCAAAAGAATTGTACAGATACGTGTGCAGGACATCAACATTGAAGGAATAGTCACCAGAGGGTGCCCGCAGGGAGGCGTGCTATCACCTCTTCAGTGGAACATGGTTCTGGACAGCCTCATTGTCCGCCTAAATCATGACAACCACTACACAATAGCTTACGCAGATGACGTAGTCATCTTGCATAGAGGTAAGTTCGAGAACTCGCTTTGCGAACGCATGCAACATGCTCTTCGAATTATAGAAAGATGGTGCACGGAATACACTCTGTCCATCAACCCCAAAAAGACTGAAATGGTTCTATTCACAAGAAAGAGGAAACTGGTACTTCCGACAGCACCCAGACTCTTAAACACCGAACTAAGTTTTGCCGCTGAGGTTAAATATCTGGGGTGACACTCGATTGCAAACTAACATGGAACATAAAGCATATATCGCCTATGAACAGTGAGACGTACTAGCGGTAAGACCTCGGGGTTCTCCCCCAAGGTAGTTTTGTGGATCTATACAACCATCATCAGGCCTATGCTTACCTATGGGGACATAAGGCCGAACAGACTACTATAAGCCGATGACTTAGACCACGTTCAAAGAATGACATGCCTCAACGTAACTGGTGCAATGAAAACTAACCCAACTAGGGCTTTGGAAGTAATTCTGTGTTTGACGCCCCTGGATGCTTATCTCAAGAAGGTCGTTCCAACCACAATAATGCGCTTCCGCACTGTTGGAATAGAACCAAGTGCAGAAGTCGGTTTGCAGAGAACCCGCATATGGCGTGAAGCAACGAATGCGCTTCTATTGTCGGAGGCCAGAGTGGACTCTGCAACACCATGTTTCGTATTCAAAAACCACTACGCAATCAACACAAAAGGTATTGGAAACAACACAGTGGCAGGGGTAAGTAACATCTACACTGATGGTTCCAAAACTCAAACAGAGTCGGGATGCGGAGTATACTCCAAAACTCTCAAACTGAACCTAGCTATAGCGAGACGATAGAGCACATTCTCTGTGACTGCATTGCTCTTTCGCCAATACGCAGAGTCAGATTAGGCCAATCGTACCCATCGCTAAAAGAGATCAGAGTCACCGCCCTCGGCGACGTCATCAGCCACGTGGAATCGCTAGGCTGGGTGACGAGCTAAGGATGCCCTCTCTTCTTGTGGAGGCGCTCAATGGGCCTAATGTGGCCTAAGTGCTGTGGCATAGCATCTCAAACTTACAGATACGGATGGATGAGAAGTATTTTTAGACAGCTTCTTCGACGTCAGTTACACGGGTTCGAATGCGGTAGTGAGATAAGTAAGGAAAAGGCATTTGGAGGAATATTTCGGGGGTTAAGAGTAAGACCGGTGGTCTCTGACCTTGAGACTGATAGTTGTTAGCTGCGATAGTCCTAGTTCGATACACCAAGTAGGATTTCAATGACCTAAGAAAATGACCACCGATGCCATTATTTCAAGAATTAACGTAGCGGATGGTTCTGCCAAAAAATCCTAATTTCTGTAATCCTGTTGAATCACAAACAAAGCTCTCAAATAGTTATAATTTTCGAAAGGATATTGTCACCAGATATAGGAATAAGGGTAACAAAACTGAAAACATACCGGTGTTCAATGATAAGATGAAGATGAAGAGAAGCAGATGAGCCAATGTAAACCTGCAAATATGCCTTAGCTTAGGCATCTCAGATTTTATCGATAATCTTTTAGAGCTCAAATCCAACTTGGGTCCCGTGATCGAAAAGTTCAGTCCCGTGACCGATAAATCGATGTTTGAGTTGTATCAAGTCCGGTGGCATCCCGGGTCTATATAGTAATTCCGTGTATTTTTGTACTGAGGGAGAACGTCGAAGAAAAGTAAAAAACGTCTGCTGCTGCCTTAGTGCGAAAACCTTTCGAATATAACCATACTTCCAAGTCAAAAAATTCAAAAGTGAATAATTATTCCCTATCTCTCATAGATCCAAAGCCTTAGAGCTTGGTGGAATAACTAGGTACACATGAACTTTTGAACCAAAAAAGTTCCAAGAAAAAAATCTCGAACTTCTAATCTCGCATCTTCACCAAAAGCCGAAGAACCTGCTACTGTTGCACCTGGTGCAAAATACAAACACTCTACACAAAACACAATCGAGCCGGTGCAACGACGATGACGACTTGGTGTCCCACCGCACCGGCTTCACGATTCCTCGATGGTCCACTTTGTGGCGAAGTCACAGCCAGTCGGTTTTTGTCTTTGCCTAGTCGAAGACGTTCCCCCAGGTCTTATCAATCAAATTAATCGATTTCACGGCGATCGCGTATTTGTTTAATAATTGTCCGTCGGTTGTGAGTGGAAACGTGACGATTTTAATAGGATTTTTGTTGTTTTTTTTTTCGGTTTGTGGTGGTTGTTTTTGGGTATTTGAGTTTTCATGCTTGGATATAGTGGAACATTTTACTAAAAAAAATTTGATTTTTCGGCTAGTTATCAAATAATATTTCTGATAATATTTTGCTGTTTTAATATTTATTTTTCATTTTCTTAGTTGTTCATTGTCATCAACCTCCCTTAGATTCTATAAAAAAATTAAAATATAATGCAAAACTCACATAAGAGGAGTGCGTGCGAAAAAGCTTATATTACCTTAATTTAATTTTTATTTGATTATTAATTTATAATAATATCTATTTATTTGGTTAATGTTCTCCCTTCTCCCTCAAGTGTCATAGCACTAGAACGGTAGTCAATTTTTTTTGTGTAAATTAAAAATTTGTTCATTCTTGTCAGGGGTATATGGGAGAAACATTTGTAAGCCATGTTTAAGCCTCTATCTTAACGACTGATAAGTTATGTTTTTCCTAATACTTTAGGACTCTTTTTGAATTTAGGAGAAGATTTTTGGAGACTGAAGTTCCAAGTGCAAATTAATGAATTTCTTTTCTCTTAGTCCTTGTTACATAATATATTTAATAGTTTAGTAGGTTAATTTTTGATTATTATCGTCTTGCTTTACTTTTTTATTCAAATCTTTAGTGTCCTTTTCAATATTTAATACTCAATATCTTGTATAAATCAAGTCGCTAACCTCTATTCAGGGCGTTTAAAAAAAAAGGGTTTTTATCAATCTTTGAGGGACTTTTAAAGCAATTGATTTTTCCTACATAAATTTGATGAAAAGCCCTTGAGTTTCCCTGAATAGCAAAAAGAAATAAACTGATACTTACAACTATCGATATTTACGTTAAGAGAGATTATAGATAATCCATTAATTGGATACCAGCTTCGTAGCTGTGTCGTGTCGAATGAATAGTTTTTCTACGTAGAATGTGGGACAAGAATATTATTAAATTTTATCGACGCATATATTTTATTTTACGAATAGCTGTACATGTACAGATAAATGGGATAGTAAAATATAGTAATTATTGAGATTTAAATGTCGTTTTGTCGCTGGGACGTGTTTACCTAAATATTTATCGCATTTGAAACTTCATTAAATAACAGTGAATTTATCGTTTGTAAAATGCAAGAGAATTACCGGAAAACTTTCAAATTGGTTCAGGAAAAATAGCGTCCGCGTTTTCAATTACCACTTATGTTTGAATGCACAGAACATAAATTAAAGGTTCATCAAGAGGCATGAGAATTATTTAAAAAAAAATATATAGGTATACTGTCTGTGCATAATCTAAAAATACGTCATGCGTGCCTATTACAAATTAAACTTTCCCACCAATTATTCGCGTATTTGATCAATTATATAGCAAGAAACATAAAGCATCAATTTGCATTTGAATAATTCCAATACAATAATCACTAATTTATTCATGAATTCCTGAAGAGACATTTTTACCAATGTTAATTTTTATAAAAAATTATCAATCAAAACCAATCAATTTTCCACTTCAACTAAAGTAAAAGTTTTGACCCAAAAAAATTTAGTAAAAAACCGACGCCGAGATAGAACTTTCCACTATATCTTCGGATGGTGCATTACTCACGAACATACCCAAACGACCGAACCTAAAACTATCATGTTACAGTGACCCAGAACTTGAAAAAGTAAAATTCCCTTTAACGTCGAAATACTGATGGTGAATTAGACCGTGTCAGTCTACATTAGAACACCATTAATCCATTGCACCGTCTAAACTTTAATTAGAAAATGACTTTGAAGAAGTAAAGATAAAATGTCGAGCAGCACGCAGAAACCCAAGTACATGGGCAAACCATTTATTAAGAAAATTTACGAGACTCACAAGAAGTGGCTTGGAGGTGAATCGAAATCACAAAAATCAAAGAAGTACGAAAATATTGAATTCAAAGTTGAAGAAGATCAGGCTAAGTTCGATTCAATACAAAGTGACAAACTTAGAATAGTGATTAATAGTTTCGATAAGATTTTGGATGAGTATAGCAGCATTACGTCAGTTGATAGTAATAAGGATTCATCATCTGTTAGTAATATTGAAGTTGAGGCATCACCAGTAAGCCCTCCAGTACCTAAAAGACATTCGTCACCAAAGGCTTTGCAAAAACCATCGACTGAAAATGTTGCAGAACTTCCTAAAGTTGTGCCACCACCCAGAAAACATTCTACACCGAAAAAGGAAAAAGCACTAATTAAACAGCAAATTGTAGAGAAAAAAATTGTAGACATAAAACCAATTACATCACCAACCAAAATCCCCAAACTGGTCAAAGCGAAAACTTGCAGCATTATTGAATCAAAATGCATTTTGAAGAAGACCAACTCCAATTCGAGCCTTGGAAGTCCAGCTTCGTTACAATTGATGTCCACAACCAAAACCAAAAGCATGTCAAATTTAGATATGAACGCCACAACTCCTGTTAAAATAGTGCCAATAATATTCGACCTTCCGTGTCCTCAAAGTATATCTGTCAAACAGAAAATCGCTCCGGAAGTACCTCCAAAACCATTTCTGGATGTTTCCACCAATTCCACTCAGCAAAAGTTTATTGAATCTCCTGTTAAAGTCAAAGAACTGGTGAAACGTTTAAACAATCTTACTGAGATTAATAGTGTTACTGTAGAAACTCCAGCTCCATCAATACCGGCACAGCCAGTACTCTCGAAGGCTGTAAGCACAACAAACTTAAGCCTTTCGAAGAAACTTGGATCAATCAGTAGGATACCAGTGAACTCTAGCCTTAGAAAGAGTTTCCCGAGCACTCCGTGCCATCTAGATAGAATAGATAGTACTGGAAGTGCACAAAGGCAACCTGGCATGAGCAAGGCAAAAAGTATTCAAAATTTGGCCAAACCTAGATTATCGCTGCAACTGTCTAATTCTAGTAGCTTATTGGAAGAAAACCAAAATGGGACTATGAGTAAGGCTAGAAGCGTTCAAAATTTAGCTAAACCAAGATTGTCTTTGCCCAGAGAGCCCAGTAGTATCGGTAAAAGTGTTCCTGATTTAATTAAAAATAAAACTCTTGCCAATAAACAGAATACAGTTAAAGCTAAAGTGGCTACTAGAAAGGTTGTAGAAGTAAAACCAAAATTGCCAGTGAGTGCTTCTACATCTACATCACCTAAAACTAGCCCCATTAAAATCAATAAGGAAAAATCAAAGCTTATGAATGTGGCGAAACCTAAGCAAACTGTTGTTAAGACTTCTTCTGTAGATGGATCCAAGGGAGTTATCAAAAAATCTGATATTTTAACAAAATTGAAGCCAGCTGAAGATGTAGATCCTAAGAATGCTTTTGTAGCAGTGCGAGGTCCTAGAGATAAAAATGTGAATATTGTGATTAAAAAATTGGAAAACAAAGTGCCGCAAGAAGAAACTAATATAGTTCGTAACCAAGTTAAAAAAGCTGAAAAAACTTTCGGTGAAAAGAAGGCACAATATGAACAAAAATCTGTGGAGAATTCTTTGAGAAAAGGACCGTCCACAGTCAAACTGGATGTGCAACCTACCAAAAACCTGGCGGAAAACGATTCAAAGTTTTATTTGGCTTCACAAGATTTCGTTGACGGTACCCGCACATCCAAGAAAATAAAATCAGAAAAGTGCCTGGATTATAACTCCGATAATTCGGATGATTCTGGAAATATTTCCAATGAAGTTGATTGTGACGAAGTGAATTCTACATCCTCGGTTCGTAGTAGAACAAGTACAGAGTCATTATCCACCGTTTTGAGTTCAAAAGGTGTCACTACGAAGGATTTGAGTGTAGGTTCTTGTAATGGCAGTCTGGATGAGAGTCCAAAGAAGGTAATTTAATCATAACTAGTTCAAATTCTGAAAAATTGGCGTTCCTGAATCTCTTATAGGTGTCCGCGTTCCTAAAATCGCTTAGACTTATCTCTAACAGAATCGTTTTATAAAACCTATGAAATATTTGAAATCATTATCACAACACGATTTTCTTTTTTCCAGATCTTTTTCCGTACTGGTGTCGTTTCTCAGTTAGAAGCTCAACGTGACGAACGTCTTGCAGGTGTCGTTATTTCCTTGCAAGCCCATTGCCGAGGTTATTTGGCGCGCAGAAAATTGCAGCAAAGGAAATTGCAAGATTTGGCTGTGAGATGCATTCAAAGAAACGTAAGAAAATTCATGTTGGTGCGAGATTGGCCCTGGTGGAGGCTTCTGGTCAGGGTTACGCCTTTGTTGAACGTCCACAGAACTGAGGAGGAACTTAGAGCTAAAACGGTAAGTGGATTTTGAGCAAATTGTTTCGTTATTTTAAGCATTCTTCCACATAGATAAAAATTTTATACTATTTATAAAAAATGCATGAAAAGGAAGATAAAAATCTAAGTGCTTATACATATGCATCAAAACAAAAAAAATGCGACGATTTCTTGATATTTTATGATCCTTGCACATTCCTACAAGCAAGCCTCTTCCTGGATTCTTAATTTAATTTCATAAATACGCAATTTCCTATTATTTATTTACTGTTGTAAAATGTCAAGGAACTTGCAGCGTTTGTTAAATAATACAATTTCTCGTCTATAAGCAAGACATACGATCTCGACGCAACTAAAACCAAAAGTCTTATGTTAACAAAACTCTAGTGCAAGTTGGAATGCGAACACCTAAGCAAACAGTAGTTTTTTTCTTCTTGGAAAAATCTGTCGAGACTTCCGTTGTTTTCTTTATATGGTAGGAATGTGAAAATGCTGATGAGCGTTGCATAATAGAAATGATTTAAGATTCTTATTTTGTCACTTCGTTGTTGTGAGAATGTGCATAGTTGAAAGTGACAGTACGTTAACTTCATAAAAATTTTCTTTATTCACGGAATAACAAACGAAATAAATTTGGCCTTTTTTGAGTATTAGTTTTTTTTTTCTATCTATATATTGCGTTTTTGTCATTATTATTATTATTACAATTTTCCATAAAGAAACTATATTGACTGGCTTGAATCGTAAAATCTAAACTGGGATAGGTACTTGAAGATAATAATGATGAAAAATTGAAATCACACGTCTGAGAAAGCGGCTGTTACTTTATGACTTCTACGAGGCATTAAAAATATATGTACTTTGCAAAAGCTATAATTATTATTTACAGCTAACCTATTTACATTATTTAATAATATTTATAATTAATCGTCAGCCTGAGGTGAGATAAAATAAACGTTTATATATACTTATTCAAATGTCTATTAATAATTTATAGATGATTCAAAGAGTGAGAATTGTTTTTTTATCACTAAAACACTTTATTGGAACTTTTACTTAATTTTATGCAAAATTCTTAGTAGGGATATCAACAATTAAGTTGGGCTTAGAAATTTGTGGGAGAGGTTCACGAATCAAGCAGAAATCTTACATTTATTTATAAATCTAAATTGAAGTAGTTTGAAGAGATTTTTTTAAATTTCATTAATAAACCTCTTAACGGAAAGGTTCTAACGAATTAATATCGTTTCATTATGGAACTGATATTGAAGCCTTTCAAGTTGCATTTCAGAAAGCTGAGGACACATTCAATTTCTTTCATTCTCCAATTATGCTGTGATTTGGTTTGTCCATCTGGCATGTTTGTTATTGCTTTCTTTTTGCTATTTTTTCTACCTTATTTTCTTTGTCTTTTTCTCCATTTTCCCTATTATTCTAGAGATCCTGACTCATTTTTTCATTAATTTCTTTTAATTTGCTTTCTACTATTGGGTGGTGCTCTGATTATTATGTCTTCTATTCAGAAATTGATACCCATTAGAGTTTTATTATCTGTTTCATAGCCTGTATACGCCACCACAATATCTTGATAATTTCTTCTTCTTGTTTAGTCTGCTATCATCCATTTTTTTTATATCCCTCTCCCGATTCTGTCCAGCGAGATCAATTTTGAGCCATTTATCTCCGGCGTACAGGGTGATCAATTATAAATGTCACCCCCTTCTAACTTTTTCATTTGACGTTTTTGACAAAAGTGCCAAATAGAAAAGTTTCAAGAAATTGTCAAAAGTTGTTAACTAAGTCAGTTTCAAGCATACAGGATGCGTCAAAAAAGTGTAGCAGTGTGGAGTTATCTTTTTTTTTTCAGTCGAACATCCTGTATATTGTGCGCTTATTTGTTAGTCCCCTTCAACCTGATACAATGATATACGGTTTGATATCTATGATCTTCATTAGTTATAGGGAAAAACATGAGAACCCCCTTCAAGGTCTGGATTTTCCCTTTCTTCCCTATAAGTATTGAAGATAAACCGAGAGATGAACATATCAAACCGTATATCGTTGATATCAGGTTGAAGGAGACTAATAAAAATAAGCGCACAAAATGCATGGTGTTCCACAACTTCACTCTACTTTTATGACGCACACTGTATGCTTAAAACTGAGTTAGTTAAAAAAAATTGACAATTTCTTAAAACTTCTGTATTTGACACTTCTGTCAAAAACGTCAAATGAAAAAGTTGGAGGGGATGACATTTATAATAGAGCACCCTATACTCTGCACTTAGTTTGAAGTCGTCGACCCATCTCATCTGTGGTCAGATTTTTGATCTGTGCCCATTATATCGTCCCCATTGAATTATTTATAAGTTTTATCAGGTGCAGGACAAAGTAAAAACATCGTAAAACACATAATTGTCTTTTACAATGAGTTCCTACTAATGAGAAATAGAAAATGTACTTAGTTTAGGATTTGTAGCATCCAGTCCAAATCTAGTTTTGATCAAAAACCATGATAAGATTGTGTCCTATTTTTCAGTCTTGAAAAAGATTTTAAATAAATCGAAACGTCGGTAATTTTTTGAAAAAGGAATTTGTTTTTTTGTCCTGCACCTGATAAAACCTACCAAAATCAACTTTATAAGGACGATAACCACTAAATTATTATTTCTAAGTTCCACCTGTGATCTTCCGTTTTTGCAATGTGTCCCGCAAAACTCCATTTTTTTCATGAGAATTTTCATGGTTTTCAGAGGTACCAAAACCATGGTGAAACCCACCCATTTCAAGCAGTATTTAATGATTTTCATAAACACCTTGTTTACTTAAGATAACAACAACAACGAGGTGGGACGGTAGTTTCTGATGTGATGAGAGTCCTATTAGAATTTTAGAGAGCCGAAATAGGAGGCTGTTTATTTGTTATTCCATTGCTATTGCATGGACTCTTTAGACATATATTAGATAGTTACTTCAGTACTGATAGGAAACTTTTTTTCCCTGAATCAGCCTTTCAGCGGTCACTGTTCACTCCTTATAGTGTTTGGGAATGATTTTACATGTACTTCAAACATTATTAAATTAACAATCGAGGTGACAACACACAGCCCATGGCACGGCATCCATACGCCAACCAGACACTTTTTTATTGCCAACTTAATTATCGTTTCTGATTAATGCTATTTAAAACATAAATACATAACACAATTTCTTAAATTAGAGATTTAACCTAACAGGGGGCTTAATAATTTTACCTGAACGTGAAGTAGTAACAGCTGTTGAGGAAGGTGAAGCAGAACTATCGTTATTAGATGATTTTCTTGATATAAATTCTTCCGAATGAAATTCGGGCTGAGTTTCAACTTCCTCGATCAGATCCGAATTAACATTTAAATTTATTGGCGCCATATCACATCAGTTTGAATCGCAACTCTCTCACTAGTAATTTCTTTTTGTACTTCGTGGTCTAAATGTTCCTCTGAAATATCGGATACTGCACCAGAAACACTTTCACTTCCTTAGTCCTTGTGCATGTTATCTGCATGAACAAATTTAATAACATTATCAATCTGAATTAAATAGGTAGAAAAACTTAACACATTTTAGTTTGTTTATTTTTTACCCGTACATTTTCATTAAGTTTATACAAATACTGTTTTTCTAGTTTTATCAAAGTCGCAAGATGCTTTGTGGTAAGAAGGCTTTAATAGGGCAAATCTAGTTCTTGATCTGTTTTTTAATATGCTTTCGTCAGGCGAAATGCCTGTTACCGTTGTTGGGGTGTTTCTATAAGTATAAAGAAAACTGGATAATTTTGATAGAATTAGACATATCTTCCTCTTTTTGGGAAAATACGGATTTTTCCAAACCTTTCTTAATATTTTGTACTCCTCTTTCTGCAGTACCATTGCTTCAAGGGTGGAGTGGTGGACATTTTACAGGATTAATTCCATTTGCCTGGCAGAAGCGAACAAATTCCACGGAATTAAAAGGAGGACCGTTATCTGAAACTAATTCCACAGGCAAACCAAATACTGAGGAAAAATCCTTCAACTTAGCTATCAGTTCATGGCAGCTTATACCCATGTTTCATTATCTTTATTCCAATCCACTTGGATTTTTGGTGTACAATTATTATCAGAACAAACTTGCATTTAGGGAAAAAATCTATATGTACCTATAAAAGTTATGAGGAGCATTTGACCAAGGTAATAAAGCAGAAGAACTTGTGAAATTTCTATATTGCTGACACACTTCACAGCCTGAGAGTGTCTAGATGTAGACTTTGCGGAATAATGACTTTATTTCCTAAATAGACGCAATTCTGCTCTACTGACAACTCATGACGTCTTTTGAAATAGGTTTTAGTTTTAATATTTTTCTCTGATACAAAATCAGACTACCCAAACCGGGTTAAATCTTTGACTTCACTCAGAAGGACATCTTTATTGGTTCCTTTACCAATGTCATTAGAATCCAGTGGGAGTTGATCAACTAGATTAAACGAATATAAAAAATCTGGAACTTTGGTGACTTTTTCACAAGGCAAACGTGATAAAACATCAGCACTAGAAATAGATGTAAAGTTTGTTTCGCCAGGGTTTGTACTTGCCACCAGCATTTACCTTCCTAGTTTAACAAATAAAAATTGACTGAAACAAATCAATGACGTCAAAAACGTTCGTCGGTTCTTGAATCAAAAGTCATTCATTTTACTTTGTCAAAAAAATTGAATGTGTCATATGAATTATTTTACGACAACCCTTTTTTTTCAAGTTTCAAGGTCAAGTATGAACCCTGGTGAAACGAACCTTACCTTTTTTATATTGAATGTCATAATAATTATATCCCGACAAGATTATTGCTCATCTGGTAATCCTCGCGGTAGCCGTTGTAGGTATTGCCTTATTTACACCAAAGATAAATTTAAGGGTTTAATGATCCGTAATTAATATAAAACTTCGACCAAACAAATATTTATGAAATTTTTGCACTGCAAAGACTATAGCCAACGTTTCCCTTTCAAGACTGCAAAATTTTCTTTCTTCTGGAGATAAGACTGGTCTTTCAGCGCCGTCTACTTCATGACTAAGGACAGTACCCACTCCATAACTACAAGCATCACAAGTTACAAAAATCGGTAAGTTTGGATTATAATGAGTTAGCACACTGTCTGAAGAAAGCAACTTCTTACTTAACTGAAACGAATTTTCACTATTTGGAGACCAATTCCTTTCAAAGTCAACACCATACTGATATATATCATAGAGCGGTTTTGATTTGGAAGGAAGCATTGGAATGAATTTTCCATAATAGTTCAATAATCCTAGATAAGATTAGAGTTCGGTTAAAGATTTTGGGGATGGAGCTTGTTTTAATGCAATTATTTTTTTCTTCAGTGGGGTGAATGCCATTCCCATCAACTATATGACCCAAGAATTCAACTTTGCGTTTGAAAAATTTAAATTTTTCCTCGTTTTCTCTTACATTAAATTCTTCAAGCCTTTTGAAAACATTTTTGACATTTTGGAAACAATCTTGCAATAATGACCCGACTATCAACATATCATCTAAGTAACATTTGGTGTCTTTTAACCCTGCTGAAATAGAATCCATGACCGACTGAAATATCCTTGGTGCTGAACTTACACCAAAAAGTCCCAAATGGGTATTAATAACTAACATTTCTTTCGACTTGTTGCTGAGTTTCAGCTGCTGATAAGCACCTTTCAAATCTATTACTGAAAAGTAACTCTACTCACTGAGACAAGCAAATATATCCTCTGGCAAAGGCAAAACACAATGATCAGAATCTATGCCTTTGTTCAAGGTTTTTTTTTAAATCAAATCTACGCAAATTCGAATATCATCAGAATTCTTTTTTGGCACTACTACTATAGGGCTGGCCCAACGACTGACGCTAACTTTCTCCAAAATACCAGACTCTACAATTTTTGTCAATGCAGATTCGACTTTATCCTTCAGTGCATATGGCATACCATAAGCACGATGGAATATAGGAGTTGCTCCTTCCTTTAATTTCAAATCAACTTCAAACTTTTTCATATAAGACCGATCATTATCAACAAAAACACTTCGAACATTTCCTTTGATTTTTGAAATTAATTTCAAAATATAATATTCAATGCCTGTTATTTCATCATTTGGTTGACTGATGCCTAGACTTTTCAGATTAGTTTGACCTGGCACAACTGCAACCAACTGAGATGAATTGTCAAAATTATTCAATTGAACTCTCAGATTGAACTTGACTAATAGAATTTTCAAAAAAAAAAAAAACCTCCAAAACGGATCAAGGACATTTAACCAGTTTCGACCCACTAATGGCAAAAATCTATGACTACCTCCTAATACTATAAAAGGTAAACTTAAATAGTTATTTTTGTCACAAGTACCTAAAATGAAGTTTTTCAGGGCGAATCATTGCTGTTTCCGGACAAGGCGTTAGCCGAGTCCGGAATAGCAGATGAGTCCTGAAAAACTTCTTTAGGTACGTGTGACAAACACTATTTTTTGTCATACCGTCAAACGGGGTTACTTGGGACACAGGGGTTACTTGGGACATTTGGCAACGGTGGAAAATTTTGACAGTTGCCAACAGCGGGGTGTTCAAAACGTTTGTTTTTGTTCGTGTTTATCAACTTTACGTGTTTAAAATAGATATCTATCAAATTTCCATTAAATTGACTCAAAAGTAGGTAATTTATATATTTTTTAAAAACCATGGTATTTTTATTTAAAAAAATAGGTCGCAAAACTTTGTTCGCCAGGAGGTTATTTTTTGAAATTTTCCAGGAATGCTTCTAAATATGGTCAACTTGGCTATTTTCCACTATGTTGCCATGTGTATTTTTTTATTAAAATTTGTTTCTAATTATTGACAAGCAAAATTATAAACAAATGTCTGATGTGGGGTTAAATGGGACATGTTCCATTTTACCCCATAAAAATTAAAACAAATTATTACGGTTTAACAATGTGTCCCATTTTAACTTATAAAAATAAGTTGGTTTTTGTTTTCAACAAGGCTATAGGCGATAAATTTGATATTTATTTAAAACAATTATGCGTGAAAATATTGTTAGTTACCAGTTATATATTATTTATAAAGAATAAATGTTCACCTTTTTACTTAAAAGTTTGGTTTTCTTCTTTTTTTTAAAGTTTTACACAGCTAAAACTTTTTTATTTTGTTTCTTATTGTCCCATGTTGCTTTAGGAAGCTCATAACTAAAGAATTACCGAAAATTTCAAGATGTTTCAATTTACCCCAACTTCCCTGGTAACTTGGGACAGCCACTAATTAATTTTTTTTTTGGCTTCGTATTTTTTTTTTACTATTAATTATGTTAATTTTCATTGGAAAATAATCTGACTCAATAATTGAGCATGATTTAGAAATGATTCTCCTAAATTCATCAAAGTTATCCAAGCTTGAATCTCGAAATTGTCCCAAGTAACCCAGTTTGACGGTACGCTTTTTAGAATTCTTCAGAACGCTAAAATTTGCAAAATTGCCTTAATTTTTGAAATCATAAAGGTGCATCCACGAAGAAAAAAAAATCCTAAAAAGAAGCATTTTACGGACTTAAATGAGTCCGTAAAATAGCTGTTTTTGGGAGCGTATGACAAAAACATCTGTTTCTCCCAAAATAGTAACATCCTGCCCAGTAAGCACTCTCAAATCACATCTAACAGGACGCAAATCTATATGAGGGAAATACAAATGGAAATCTTTAATATGAATCACTGAACGACGCACCACAATCAATCTCGAAATAAATTTTCCTACCTTTAACTTCAAGTTGTACTTTTTCTGGCTCTCTCTACGTGTTCCCAAACTTGAAAGGAAACCTAACCACTAATGGATCGTCATATTCAATCATTATCTGAACGCTGTGACTGCTTCTGATTAACCTCTTCTAGAGCATTGAAAGAACGCCTACCAACTTTACTTGTATGCCCCTTTGAAGCATACCCATTCTTTTGTAGGGCATTTCTCGACATCATGCTTCCTTGAACAACGAAAACATTCCTTCCAATGTGACTTTTGAAATGAATTTGGATCTCTCTTAAACCGACCTTAAATTGCAAGTTTATCAAGGCTCTGTACAGTTTATGAAATTGCTTCGGCTCCTCTAGATTTTATGTGGCCCTCTGCTAACTCATTTGACAAGGCAATTTCATAAGCCCTTTTAAACGTTAAATTATCTTCAGATAATAATTTCCTTTTGATTACATTTGACCTCACCCCACATACTAAGCGGTCTCTTAAGGATTCTGACAAAAACTGACCAAAACTACAATACTGAGATAGGTTTT